CTGTTTGATTCAGTATTGTTAACAAGGATTCAAAGGGTTTACATGGCACAGAGCCTGGGACAGGGTCAGGCTCACCCCTTCATACAGATCATTCCCTTTTCTCACCATCACTCCAGAAAGTACACTTCCAGTAAAAGATGTCAATGATTTTTAAAGCAGACCTTCAGGAGCAAATCTATAGTTCTACCAAAGGCAGGGATGAATCAACTTGTACTGTTGTTAATTTTAATACTTTATCCAACATCAACACAGTGAGTTGGCCTGCCTAAATTTGTCAATTTCTAGGACATTTCACAGGATTCTTTTTATAAAATGACTTAAAAGCCTCACCCTAAATTTGAGAGAGGTTTTTGTTAGTGATAGTGTACACCGTGTCTTCAAAAGTCACAAGACTGATTCCTAGAGCTCTGTGTTCATGCTCTGTAGCTGTATGTTAGTGTTTAAAGAAATAGTAAAAATGGAGCCACAGTGGGGATATTAAGTTCTCTCTTCTTTTTGCATATTATTTTACATAGAGCTGCAGGAATAATACAATGATTTTTCTTCTTTTTTATTATTTTTTAAAATATATTTTTATTTATTTTTTTTACAGAGAGGAAGGGAGAGGGATAGAGGTTAGAAACATCAATGAGAGAGAAACATCAATCAGCTGCCTCCTGCACACCCCCTACTGGGGATGTGCCCACAACTAAGGTACATGCCCTTAACCAGAATCAAACCTGGGACCCTTCAGTCCACAGGCCGACGCTCTATCCACTGAGTCAAACCGGTTAGGGTGATTTTTCTTTTTATATGTTCTTTTTAAATAACAAATATGTACAACTATTATTTGGGAGCTTCCCATAAGACTAATGAAATAATTGAAATGAACATATTTTAGAATCCAACTAACCAATAATCTAAAGTTAAATAACATCTTTAGCTCTTAGCAAAAGGGTATAGATAGTAAGCCTACTACTCTATGTATTACCCAAGAAATTCAAGAGATATTAACTGTTTTCACCTATGGTTTCTAAGTAAGTGCCTCAATTCTTCATTTAAATCTTCTAAGATATACCTATGCTCTTAGAATAAAGTACTTAGTATGTGGTAACTCACAACTTCTAGGTCATCAATTCATTTATAACAAATTCTCCCTTGCTATTCTGTGCGTGCCAGAAGACAAGGAAAAATGCATTCACCCAAATTCTTGGGCACTTTATTTCTCCAAAGAAATTAAAATTTGTGTTTATGTTGGCAGCTCTATCACAACCATAGTCCATACCTCAGACCGGTTACTATGGAAATCCAAATTACAAACACTATTAATATCAATGCATCAATCATAAAGCCCAGTTCTACTTCCCTGGGTCACAACCTCATAACTAAGAACTAAATGGTTATCTCACTATCTGTGCTTCTGTAGTCAGTGACAGGGAACAGATTTTTTGGATACTTACTAAGTAAAATGGCCTGTTATAATGACTATCTTTTTACCTTGATGACTTTTATTAGCATTTGATCGGGAAGGTCAACTATATTTGAAGTTTCTCCTGGTCTCACATTTTAGCAGAATCATTGTGTTAATCAGTGTCAAACAGTCTATTTAAATCCATCAAGCTGGCCCAGCTGGTGTGACTCAGTGGTTGAGTGTTGACCTATGAACCAGGAGGTCACAGTTTGATTTCTGTTCAGAACACATGCTTGTGTTGTGGCTTAATCCCCAGTGTGGGGGCGTGTAGCCGATCAATGATTCTCTCTCATCATTGATGTTTCTATCTCTCTCTCTCTCCCTTCCTCTCTGAAATCAATTTAAAACAAAAATCCCTCCAGCTGCCGAGAACCAATCAATGTCTATAGAGGCTCTGTATCAGGGGTGGTGAACCTTTTTTCTGCCAAGGGCCATTTGAATATTTATAACATCATTCACAGGCCATACAAAATTATCAACTTAAAAATTACCCTGCTGTATTTGGTCAAACATTGAAGTAACTCACCCCTAATGCCTTGGCAGGGCCAGACCAAATGATTTTGTGCGCCTTATATGGCCCGAGAGCTGGATATTCCCCACCTCTGCTCTATAGCTACAAGGTGTGAGGACATCTTATAGGAGATACTGATTGGCCCTAAATAAACAGTGTTTTACTTATTGAACACACACACACACACACACACACACACACACACATACACACACACATACACACACATACACACACACATACACACACATACACACACATACACACACATACACACACACATACACACACACATACACACACACACACACACACACACACACACACACTGGAAGAACTATATCAAAATGGTACAGAACTGGTTGCTCAATGAGTGATACTATGTTTTACTCTAACGACAATTAGCCTTAAACTCCAAATTTATGAAATGATACTCTGGATATAAAATATTTCAGGAAAATAAGTAAACCTACAATTACAGAACAAAATTTAAAACTACATGCCGACAGTAAGTTTAGGGTATGTTTATGTTGTATTATATTCTTTAACTTTGGGCCTTTTTATGGTCTTAATATGAGCTGAATGAAAGAAACCTTGGAATATCATTTGTCAATTGTTGCTCAAGGCTAGTGTTCAAAGTTGAAATAATATCTTTATTGGGGATATAAATATTTAATCAGATGCTTTTCATAATGGCTTCTAAGTCTATCAAGTTCATTATAACTGAACAATAGAAAAAAAGAAATAGAAGGCATCCATATTGAAAAGGAAGAAGTAAAGCTTTCTCTGTTTGCAGGTGACATGATCATGTATACAGAAAACTCTAAAAAGTCCATAACCCTAAAAAAACTATTAGAGCTAGCAAATGAGTCCAGAAAAATTGCAGGATACCAGATCAATATAGAAAAAATCAATTGTATTTCCATTAATGACAAATCCATCCCAAATGAAATTAAGAAGATAATTCCATTTATAATAGTATCAAAAATAATAAAAGGAGTGAAGGCTTTTACACTGGAAACTGCAAAACATCAATGAAACAAAGGAGAACTAAATAAGTGGAAAGACATCCTCTGTCATGGATTAATATTATTAACATGGTGATAGTCACCAAGTGGATCCACATATTCAACACTATGTTCCAATCAAAATCTCAACTGCCTTTTTTGCAGAAATTGACCATCTTGTGCTACAATTTATATGGAAATGCAAAGGGTCCAGAATAGCCCAAACAATCTTGAAAAAGAGGAACAAAGTTGGAGGGACTCATTTGTCCTGATTTTTAAACCGATAACAAAGCAATAGTAATCAAGACTGTGATACTGGCATAAGGATCAATGGAATGGAATTGGGAGTCCAGAAATAAAGCCATATATTTTTGGTTAGCAGATTTTCATTTCACAGTTAAATGGAGAAAGAATAGTCTTTTCAATAAATGGTGCTGGGACAAAAGGATATTCATATGCAAAATATGAAGTTAGATCACTAGCTCGTACCATACATAAAATTAACTCAAAATGAATCAAAGACCTAAATGTTAGCACTAAAACTATAAAACTCTTAGGAGAAAATATAAGTGTATATCTTTGTGACCTTGAGTTAGGCCATGGTTTCTTAGATAGGACATTAAAAGCACAAGCAACCAATCACTCCAAATTGGACTCCATCAAAATTAAAAATTTTTGTGCTTCAAAGGCCATATCAAGAAAGTGAAAGACAACCCATAAAATGAGAGAATATATTTGCAGACCATATATTTGTAAATTCAGACTAAATATAGAACTCTTAAAACTCAACAATAAAAGGATAAATATCTCAATTTTAAAATGGGAAAATAATTTGAATAGACATTCCTCTAGAGTAAATATACAAATGGCCAACAAGTGTATAAAAAATATACACACCAACCATTATTGGTCATCGGGGAAATGCAAATCAGAATGACAGTGAGATACCAGTTAAAACCCATTAGTACGGCTATCATTAAAGAACAAACCAGGCAATACCAAGTGGTGGCAAGGATGTGGAGAAATTGGAAGTCTCATGTGGTGCTAGTGGAAATATAAAATGGTGCAGCTGTATTAAAAAGAGTTTGGTAGTTCTTCAAAAAATTAAACATAGAGTATGATCCAGCAATTTCACTCCTAAGATATGTTCAAGGTGAATCAAAAACATATGTCCACATAAAAACTTACACACAAATGTTTATAGCATCATTATTCCTACTAGCCAAGAAGTGGAAACAATTCAAATGTCCATTGCCTGATGAATATATAAACAAAATACAATGTAATATTATTCAGCCATATGAAGGAATGAAGTACTTACTGATTCATACTACAACACTGATGAACCTTGAAAACATTATGCTCAATGAAAGAAGCCGGACACAAAAAGCCACATGTTTTATAATTCCATTTAAATGAGACGGCCAAAATGATAGAGGCAAAACTATAGAGACAGAAAGTAAATAAATGCTCTCAAGGGGCCAACGTAGTGGAGGAAACGAAAAGTGACTGCTAATGGGTATAGAGTTTCTTTCGGGGTGACCAAGTGTTCTGGAGTTAGATAGCAGTGATGGTTCAAAATTTGGTGAATATACTAAATTATCCACTATAAAGAGTGAATTTTATTATATGTAAATTATGTCTACATAATTTAAAATTGCTATGTTTTTCCTTCAGCACTCTATACATTAAGTTTTAATAAAGCATAATACAACTTGCAAAAGAATGTGATCATTAAAGCACATATTTATATATTTTGTTTCTAAGAAAAACAAGTTCCATGAGCAATCTTATAGGTGGCATGAAATCTGACCAGTTTTTAGTATCAGTGTAGACAGTAAGACAATGAGTCCAGCCTTCCTTTGAGTTACACTGTGAAGGTAAATACGAATTCATCACTTCTGTTCTCTCATTAAGTTCATGCGGATCCTTTGTGTGTAGGTTGATTAAACATTAATTGTTCTGAAGTTGAGGGAAGAATCTTGAGTATTTTAACCCCAAAGTCTCTATGTGCTCTCTCATTCCTTCCCAGGTGCTGCCCTTCCCCAGCCAGGTGGTGTACAACAGAGTTGGCAAGTGTGGGAGTCGCACTGTGGTCTTGCTTCTGAGAATCTTGTCAGAGAAGCACGGATTTAATTTGGTCACGTCAGACATTCACAACAAAACCAGGCTTACTAAAAATGAACAAGTAAGTTGTCTTTGGCCACGGTTAAACTGTACTTTGCTTCAATTCATTGGTGTAATTAGTGGGTGCCTTACAGGACATCCTTCAAACCCTGACGGATGCATACCAGATTTGCAACTTCATACTGTATATTTGTCAGCGTGTGGAAGGAAGTTTAAGTTAAGTGTTCTGGTGGTGGTCTTTAAGCCAGGAAGTTTCCGAGAAGGGATACTTTTGTTAGACCAAAGGACAGTGTGCACTCATCATTGTTTATTTAGCTAAAAGTAGCAATGCATAAATCTCAGATCGTTTCACCACTGAGCTGTAGATAATGCTGACATCCTGATGGCAAAAATAAGAAAGATTTATTTTAATATTTCTTCTTCTATATTTGCTCACAAGTATCCTAGGAACCTGACTGGTCGATGGGGGCCTAAGCTTCCTCTTATGATCAGCTCAGGGGACCTTGCACTTCCACAGCAGCATTTGGCATATTCAGTGGTAGCAAAATCCCATTTCCCAGGGACAGTTCTGTCACAATATAGCCGAGCCATACAAGTGAACATACTGGTGGGAAAGTCTGCTCTACATTCTGCCTGGAAGCTATGCAAACAGATTCTACTTTATAAGCTTATACAAAAGTAGAGTCCATAGTCTCTATTGGGGCACTTTGCTGATATAGCACAGTTAGGCCTACTGCTCTCAAGGTCATTTTACAGGGTCAAGTTTGTTAGCTTATCTCACAAATTTGGCTTCTGTGCCTTTAGTACTTAAGGATGGATGAATAGCCACCAGTATAAGGCAGGGTTTTCTAAAGAACAGAACCAGTAGGATGGAGATATCTATCAATTATCAATAAATAGATATAAAAGGAGATTTATTATGAGGAATTGGCTCACACAATAATGGAGACTGAGAAGTCCCATGATCTGCCATCTGTAAGCTGGAGACACAGCAAAGCCATTGGTGTAATGGAGTTCAAGGGCCTGAAAACCAGAGGAGCCGATGCTGTAAGTCCCAGTCGAAGTTATAAAATGAAATGTTCCAGCTTAAACAGTGAGGCAGGGAAAAGGGGGCAAATTCTTCCTTTCTCCACATTTTGTTTTGTTCAGGCCTTTAAGAGATTGGGTGATGCGCACCCACATTGGGAGAACAATCTCCTTTACTAAGTCCATGGATTCAAATGCTAATCTCATTCAGAAACAGCTTCACAGACACCCCCAGAAATTTTGTGTAATCTGGGCCTCCCTTGGCCAGTCAAGTTGACACATAACATTAACCATCACACCACCCAATGATTTTCTAAGTTTGGAGAATAAATAAAACACGTGGTTTACTATCAGGTTGAGGCCACAATTATGGAAATTTCCACCCATGTCCACTTCTTTCTGGCAAAGCCTCACAAAGAAAGGGAATTTACAATGGCCTTTATTTCTCTTTTTTCATGGGGACATTGGGACAGTTTTTAAGACAGTAACATAACCAACAGGACTTGCGATAAGCCATTATATTTAGTGTCTCCCATAATATAGAGATCAATATGTCCACTCCTTTGAAAACTTCCACTAAAGAGTCTCTGAGTATCAAGTCCAAAGAGTCAATCAACAATAAATATTTTGAGATTATCCCTTGAAGCTTCTATAGTAGTCTATCAATAGAAAAATTATATTTGGTGACATTTAAGGATATCACATTTTATTAATGAGTTTAATAGGGCTATGTTCTCAGATTTCCTTTTCTGATTGAAGAGCAAATATGAGGAGGCTGGTCATGTCCCTTTCACTACCTGAAAGAAAGTGACTGTTCATTAATAGCCTACGTAGTTGCAATTTTATTATAATTATGAAATTTGGTTTTCCTTGGAGTACTTGAGTCTGCCTATCAGATTACACCTAAATATTGCTATGTGTGGAAAGTATGCCCAGTTCTCAGAAGCCTCATAAAACACAGCAGCTCAATTTCAGTTCCCACTGCTGATGAGATGCACACAATACAGCAAGGTAACTGAAATGTTAGACATTGAGATGTTCGGGAATGCCCTAGAAGAGAGAGCACAAAATATAACATTTAAATATACTGTGTGATGTTCACAAATAAACAAACCTACTTTGTTTCCTACGAGGAACCATCTGGAGAAAGTAAAATACGGTTGCAACTGTCACGAGAAAGATTTAGATGAAAATTTAACAGTAATTGAATAAAGGTGTATAAATTGCTGCCTCTAGAGAAGGGTTAAAGACAAAGTCATCTTTGTCCTCTAAAATAGAAGTAAGCTCTCATCTGTTTGGAATGATTGGCTTGTCTGGAAGCCAGCGAATAGACTAGACAATCTCTTAAGGTTCTTTCCAGCCCTGTGATTCTGTGATATATTTATACAACTTCTAGCATAGTCTCTATGTAGTGCAGTTAAACATTTCTGATTCCTGTGGTCAGTATGAACCAGAATATACTTCATTACATAGTTACTCCAGATTCCTATTAAATTATAAGGCAAGTTTTAAAAACTCAAGGGAAAGGTAAAGATACGGTAGGAAAAACAAATAAGCAATTTCGATGTAAAAGCAAACGATAGCGACAGTGGCCTCTGTGCAGCTCGCTGACCGGGCTGTGACACGCAGAGGGAGCCAGGATATGGCATGACAAGAAACCAAGTTTGAAGTAGCTTAAGAATGTTTAAAGAAACTCTTTTCCTTATTATATGTATTCTTTTACTAAAGTTTCAAAGTGCATAAAACAAGCGGAGAAAAAATATTATTTTAACCTAATATATTCAAGAACTAATTTGTGGTATGAATAGCTCCTCTTCTTGATAATTTATTAAAGGAAAGGGTTGGGGGAGTGATTTAGGAGAGGAGTTAAAATTTTTAAAGTCAGTGGTTCTCAACATTAAACAGTAGAACTCTGAAAATGTGTTCCCATGGAAACATTGTTCTATGGAGTTAATAACACTTTACTTCAGGTGCAGAATAGACTGGCTCCTGTGGGCTGGCCCAGGACTCTATCCACCATGTAGAACATTGATTTTATGAGGAAATGTGTTCCAGGTTCCAAACTACTGACTTATGAATGAACTTTGGAATGCTATTCACTTATGAGACTTGAATTATCTATACCATTTCATTCATAGACATGGGCACCCCACTCTGGCCAGAGTCAAATTCATGCCCATGCATACATTTCTCACTATAGAGTAGCTGTCATCTCTCTCTCTCTCTCTCTGTCTCTCTGTCTCTCTCTCTCTTTCTTTCTCCTCCCCCTCTCTCTCTTTCTCTCTCTCTCTCTCCACTAAATTTTAAAAATGTACACAGTATTTAATAACATAAGACACTGAAGGGATTACTAAAAAGGAAAGGGAGCATGCAAACACCAAATGTTAGAATGCCTATAAAAATTCCATTACATCTGCCACAGAGACATAGAAATACCTTTGAAGTTACTATTTAAGAAAACTCCGCCCCAACAGAAAAGCAAGGACAGCTGCTGAAGGCCAAATGTCAGAACTTTCAGGGCACTGATGCAAACCATGGTGACATCATTTCATTTACGCTCTAAAACCAGGTTTCGATTTCTTGGGCTCACTTAGATAATCTCATGGAATTGCATACACTTTGAAAGACATGGGGTGTGATTTCCAAAGGACTCATAACCATTTTTGTTAATGGTCTGATGCTATTTTTCACAACATTGTTCTCAGGACAATGAAAGTCAACGTGTTGCAGGCATATCATAGACATAGGAATTCAAAATTATTGCATTCTTGTTGGAGAAGGGTTGATATAGGAGCCCAAAAGATCAAGAAAAAAATAGTTTTACTCTCTTATTTATATTGAAGCTACTTAGGATTACAAAATGGGAAACAGCATTTACTCCATGGTAATTGTTTTACTTCATTATTTTACTTAAGTCTTTTGGACCTAAAACCAGTGCGCAGGTATGAGAAAACTGAAACAATCAGATTGTCACTTTCAGAATGGAATAGGATAGGATAGGATAGGATAGGATGACTACCTGTGGCACCTGCACTTGAACTTAGGCCCTCCTGAACCCAACAGCCCTTCTGAGGCAGTGGTTATCGTTCTAGCTGCACCGCAGAATCTCCAGCAAAGCCTTTGAAACATACAGTTGCAATGGCCGTTCCCCTGAAGTGTTTCCTGGTGGAGCCCAGTCTTTTAAAAATAATAGTAAAGTACCACAGGAGATTCTGTAGTGCCGGCGGGGTTAAGAATCCCTGTCAAAACTATGACATTTTCCTAAGAGTGTTCCTGGGAGTCTTAGTCCCCTAAGACACCGAAAAATAAAAATAAAAGAAACTACCACGATTAAACAAATATGGGAATTGCTGGCCCTTTGTCCCCCTCTAGGAGATTCACAATGATTACTCACATTTTAAAGAATGGGGATTCTTTCCATTAAAACTTTGTTTAACTGGCTTTCACGTAGTGCTTCCCCATCTCCGTTGGCAGGGAACTCTTTATAAGCTCTCCTGTGTGTGGCTCTCCTGTGCACCCCACAGCTGGAGATCATATCTCCTGGGACTCTTTTAAGCAGCTATGAAGATGCTGAAAAGTATTTAAAGGGTGGAAGACACAGAGGACCTATGCGCCTCGTGTGCTCTAGATTGTTTTAGCCTCTTGGTCAAAAACAGAATTTCCTTACAGTGTTTTAAACTCCCCTTCCTCATTGCTCTCCTCCCTGCCAGTTCTCAACCTCACTGTGGCTGTAAAGCAATGCAACTCTAGAAACAAAACTCACCTACAGAAACCATGGTTGATTTGGAAAAGGTCTAGAGACCACGGGGATTCCTCCCAGGCCTCCCCAAGGCAGGGTCAGCTGGTCTTCCTTGAAAGGTAAAGGTTCACTCATTCCTTTTGAAGCAGGTCACTTCGTTGTTTCTTCCTTCATTTGGACGGCTATTCATTGGGCACCTACCGTGAGCGCTGTCTATTGAGCCCCAGAGAGCACACCGGATAGGTGTGCATCTTATTTCTAATCCTTTAAGCAGCATAATTAGGAAAGTATTACAA